ATATAATATTAGTTTCCCATCAAATTTTATTTTAATTTACTTACTCTATGAACCTTATTAGGAAGATGCTTTCGTATGGAACAAAAAATAAAGTTGAGGAAATTTACTGGAATTATAAATACAAAAGTTATAATTTTAATGAAAAGTGACATGATATCTCTATGATTGCAGACTGTCAGTTCAAAGACTGTTAAATTTACCTTTAATCAGTAGAAATAGGTCATTAATACCAGTACTTTTTTCCAAAAATAGTAAACTTAATTAAAAGTGCATATATAGGCATTCAAACATATAATCTGATGACAAAAGACAAAAAGAAGTTTTTTAAAAATGGTAATTTAAGAAAGTGCTGACAGACAATAGTAGTCAAACTTTAAACAACAGCACCACCGACCTAGAATAGACTCCGAGTCTGTGATAGCGCCCAGTACTTCTGTTTTGTCTTACATGTAGTGTACTGCTGAGAAAAAGTGGATGTCTTTATTACAAGTTGTCCTTTATTAACTTCCTGGTTTGAACTTCATTATAGTGACCCATGCCTGTATTGGTGTGTGTATAGATAAAAATATTGTTTGTAGATATGTGTATCTAGAACAGGTTATTGAAGTTTAATAAAAATGATTTTCTTTCCAAGATGTGGTTGGTTATTGTATTTTTTCCCACCAAAAGCAACGTACCATGCAAAGATATAAATCATTTGTGCATATGTACAGTGAAAACACAACTGGAGACTATAAACACCTGTTTATTAATTTTCAGCGCAATGTGCTGGTGTCTATTTCATATATACTTGGTCTTGGAGCTTCTTTTTGATACGATAATATCAAATTATCTACATTTCAAAAAAAAAAGATCTGCAAAGTTTCTTTGAAAATAAAATCAATATTTTGTGTCCTATTTACGAGGTTGTCACATCATTAATGCTTGTTTCCTCCAGAAGGAGATTAGTGTATTAATATGCACAATAAATCGACAAATTACCAATAAAAAGAGGGGGGAATACGTTCAACAAGGACAACTTTCGGAGAATGTACACGTGTATTTTCTAACTTATCAAGATATTTATTAATAAAAATCGTAGAGAGCACAATGAACTGTGCAAGTTTCCTTTAGGAACAGTTTCTGAGCCTGTCCTTGGATTGGACATATATCATAGCACCAAATAAGGTATGGACAAAAGAGGTTATATTTTCAGACCAAACTCGGAAAGAAATTTGTCCGGAAAGACCCAGAAATCTTCTCAATTTGGGCCACTGTCACTGTGACCTACATTTCAAATGTACACAATGCGTCTCTGTTTGAATCATTTATGGATAGAGATAAAGTTCAGCTTAATTCGTATCTTGATATTTACAGTCTCAAGTTTTAAGCTGCGTTTAAGCAAAAATACTAACCATGGAAAAGCGTTAAAATGAATTTGGTCATTTGCTCCAAAAGCCAGCCATTTTCATTCGGCCGGGTCTCTATGCAGCAGCTTGTGGATACGTCACTGAACGCGAGACCCGTAGCAAGCTGTCAAGAACAAACAGAGTGAGGTATCGTGCCCAAAGACACAACCGCGTCAGCTCAGATCTGCCAGTTTCAGATTATCTTCCTCACAAACCGATCTAGAAACAGACACCTCAGATATGAACCTGAGGTATGTACATGTGGACCAACACTTGATCGCCCAAGCTGTCACGTCTCTCCGGGAGATCCTACAACCTCACAACCAATGCTGTGTCACGAAGTACTTGACTTCCAATTCGGTAACAGATTGAAGTGTAAAATGTTTGATGTTTTTATAACAACATCTGTCTCCATTTGCTCTAACCTGTCTCACCAATTCGGCAACTATTCACATGTTAACTTGTTTTGCTAACCAGTGATTAACTTGAAGCAACTGTGGCCTGAATGATGTAATTCACTACACGTAAACAGGTGACACCCTTATATTCCGAAGGCCTAAAAGTCCGAAGGCCCAACAGTCCGAAGGTCCAATAGTCCGAAGGCCCGATAGTCCGAAAATGGTTACATATTTTGTTTTCTTATTTAACTTTAAATAGAATAATGACGAAATTTGGAGAGAACAATAGTTAGGTAATAATAACAGAAATCTTCGTAACATTTACTACAGGTTTTGGTACAAAAAATCGCGAGAGAAAATGGCCCTATGTTTTTTATCTTCTATAAAAGTTAAGTGAAAGGCGACATATATTTGTAAGCGATGGGAACATTAACAGAAATGGCGCGAAAAAAATGTAGAAGAAATCATGCACGGTAAACAGTGCGGGGAATCCGACTTACATGAGCGGCGAAGATGGCGCGAAAAAAAACTTGAGAAAATCCTGCACGGTAAGTTTTATGGATTCTGACTTGAATGATAAAAAAAATCATGAAAACTTGCAGCGCGGAAACAAAAAAAACAGTTTAAGTCTTACGTAGAAACAAAGAGATCAAGCAAAACCAGTTTGTCCTTCGGACAACATGGCGTACTGTATGGATGGAATCAAACGGGGTAAATCCTTGTGTACGATGGATTCAGATACCATAAAATCGCGATATTGGCCGCAAAATATATTGGAGATGTTGGCGAAAGGAATGCCGTGCAGCGCTGACTTCAGATCTATTCGACATTGACGATAAAGATGCTGACATCAATGTACTTGAGGTATGTAGCAAATGTGTACTTTTACAAATTTTAATTTAAATAGTGCAGATATAAAAATGTATATATTTGTAAACATAAAATGGTGATTACTTGCTGAATTTTGCCAAAATACTTCTGGCTGTTAAACTCTTGAAAACAGGCAGCCACATGTTTTATTTTAAAACAATCAATTATAAATGTTAAGGTATTTTATCATAGAAGTGAAACAGAATGTTTCTTACTTCTTTGTACATTAAATTCACCTAAATACAAATAATTTAATATTGATAACAAATTCCAATCTGTTATTAAATTATGCATGTATATATATATCTACTTTGTAAACATTTCAGAGTGCGGAACACGAACATCCTGCAGACCGATGTCGTCATACAATATGGAGCTGCTTTAACCGAATGCCGATGACCAAATTGTCCCAATAAAACGGACCTTCGACAAAATATTGGCTGAAATTGTTGATGGCGATGATGATGCTTAAGAACTGCCGGATTTTCCGCATATGAGGGCAAGGTTCCAACGAGCGCATGTGGCTGTTTTATGTCGTTGTAAACTTTTTTTCTGAAATGTAAACATGCGTGCTGAATATTTTAAGACAAATCGGACTAACGGGCCTTCGGGCTATTGGGTCTTCGGAATATTAGGCGGTCACCGACAACCAAATGTGTCAAAATTTCAAATCAAAGAATAAAAAAAACATAGACAATGGAAATTACGCCTTTATTTAAATGACACGTATCACGAAATTTAAATACGATGAACTTATTGTAATGATATAAATCACGTAGTTCCAACATTAGAAATCAATTGTGATGACAAAATCATCGTAGTTCTAAAATGAGAAATTACTTGCAATGATAAAAATCGCATAGCTCCAGTATAATTAATTATTTATAATGAAAAAAAATCTCGTAGCTCCAGTATGATAAATTAATTAAATGACAAAAATCTCGTAGTTCTAAAATGAGAAATTACTTGTAATGATAAAAATCACATAGCTCCAGTATGATTAATTATTTATAATGACAAACATCACATAGCTCAGTATAATTAATCAATTATAGTGACAAAGATCACATAGCTCCAGTATAATTAATTAATTACAGTGACAAACATCACATAGCTCCAGTATAATTAATTAATTATAATGACAAACATCACGGAGTTCCAGTATGATAGATTAATTATAATGACAAAAATCTCGTAGTTCCAGTATGATAAATTAATTATAGTGACAAACATCACATAGCTCCAGTATGATAAATTTATTATAATGACAAAAAATCACATAGCTCCAGTATAATAAGTTGATTATAATGACAAAAAAATCACGTAGCTCTAGTATGATAAATTAATTATAGTGACAAACATCACATAGCTCCAGTATGATAAATTAATTAAAATGACAAAAATCACGCAGTTCCATTACGATAAAATAATTGTATTCAATCTCAGAACGCCTCCACGACAGAATATATCTTAATAACTAAAACAATACAGTACTTCAGTTAGCTATATAGCAAAAAGTCAACGATATATCACAGTCTTGGATAGAGATGTCTATAAGGTGAATAAATGTATATTTGATATTTAAACTTTAAAATAATTGAATTATGTAACCATGGTAAATACAGGTCTTACCTCTGTCTCCGCTTGTATTCGCATATGTTTACATTCCACCGACAGAGGACAAGGTTTTATTTTCTCTAACAGACTGATGTATTGAGGCTAACATTTATTAGGATTGTGGTAGGATACGTGCACATCACTGACTTCGTTTGAGATAAATACTTTGAGCATTTTGACCCATTTGCACGAAGATTAAACACAGTAAAACGTCTCTTTGGTCTAGTTTAGCTATCTCACTGTAAAGCGAAGACATGATAAAAAAACCTTGGCTTGTTTTGATAGGTATACCCGTGTCTCATTCTCATCTGTAAGAAAACGTTTTAATGATCAACTTTCATCTTCACAGACCAAACATTTCACTGCTGAAGATTATTTTCACCTTTGTAAATCTGTAACAAATATAGAAAATGTATTCAATCTCCTGTCATGATCAACAAGCTACATGTGTGTATTCTCTAAAAGTTGTGTACGAAATCCTGCACCAAAGTATCTGAAATACGGAGGAGACCCATCCTTCCAGAAAATATCCGCCATATTTGACTCGCCGCTATAGACATCTCGTTGTTCAGTCACAACAAGGCAAGAAAACCATATTATGATGTTTACACATCAAGTGTATTTTACTTTCCTCTAATTTATCACAGAAAGCAACCGATACGTAACAAGTGTCTGAAAAATCTACCCGATCATAGTTTTACAACGTTTTGATAAATCATGGAATTTGTTAAGTGCTCTGCTTGGGGAAGGTATGAATATCCTCTAACGAACCACAATGGGCTCTGTTCATTTTGGGAATGAAAGTCTGTGTTTGAGTTTGGAGCTTCTTGGTCGGTTTGTCCAATTTGCTGGCAAAAGATGCCACACATATAAGGAGAAGACTGCCTGCAATTATGACTAATGACGCTATACTGTTGTTGATATTCTTCCGTCTCAGCTCTTCTTCCTGTTTACGTTTCTCTTCCTCTAGCTGTTGAGCAGACTTTGTCGAAGTTGACGTTTTTGCACTTGACGTTGTTGACGTTTTTGCACTTGACGTTGTTGACGTTTTTGCACTTGACGTTGTTGACGTTTTCAGATTTACAGATTTCACGGTTGTCACAGTTACGTCGGCTGTCGAGTTAGCCTGGCTTGTGGGATTTGTTTCAGTATCATTCGGGGATACATGATCAAACGAAATTACACTCGAGGACGGCAGTGACGTGGTACTCACGTCGGGTGTCGAAGTAGTCGGGTTTGTACCGTTTGCTTCCATTGCACATTCCATGGGACAAACACAGACACCAAGGAATAGAAATCCTAGAAATTCTAACATAACACTAGAGACCATGATTACAAAAGTATTACGTAGTCTCTAACAAAATCTAATGAAATTTTCTCTCACAGGCTTTCAACATCAATATAAGCTGTTTGTCTGTACTGGCAAATACAGACGTAACTACCACCTTTTCATGAATATATATCAGGAAGAACTATCTCCGATTTAGTTCAGATTGAGTTAGATATTAATCAATGAATTGCTTTTGTTAATAGGGGTACCCATAAGGAGAACATCATGGCGTCCAAAATTGTTTTTATCATTTAAGTGTTACATTCGACGAAAAAATCGGAATGACAAGTGATCAGAATATTACAAATCGAGTTCTGAATATGTTAACAAGTATAAAAAAATAATTCTCTATCATTTCGCCCTTTTTGGCCCCCTGAGTATGTTATCTTCAATGCAATGTTTCTAGAAGGTTACATTTTGAACTTTTGAGCAATATGTTACGATAACAGGTCTCAGACGGCTGTAATATTTACTCGCCTATTACAGATCAGGAAGTTTGACAACATGCACTGTGGTATAGACTCAAGGGTTGGTTTATGATCGGGCGTGTTTTATAAGTTGGATGGTGTAACTAAGCAGCTATTGGGACTGCCTGATGACGATTAATTAATACACATACCCTCAGTAGACTATACGCAGAATGTTTCAAAACGTCATTATTGAGGAGAGTTCGGTCTTGAGTTAACAGTCGAGTTACAAAGAATCATCTAAGCAGTGCTAAGAAATACATTATTAGTACATGTATTGTTAGACTAAATATATCCATTGAACATAAAAGACACAACACAATTTCATGTAAGATAGGAGGGCGGTCCTACAAAAACTACTCAAGTAAAAAAGACGGGCTGTCATGCGCCAAAGCTCAAGGTAAGATAGGCAGGTGATCCTACATCAAAAACTTCAGGTGAGTTAGGCAGGCACTCCTACACTCAAACCTCAGGTAACATAGGCAAGCGATCCTACACCATAAGAACAGGTAACATAGGCAAACGATCCTACACCAAAAACTTCAGGTGAGATAGGCAAGCTATCCTACATCATAATAACAGGTAAGATAGGCAATTCATACACCTAAACTTCATGGAAGATAGGCAGGCACTCATACACCCAAACTTCAGGTAACACAGGCAAGCGATCCTACACCATAATATCAGGTAACATAGACACTCCTACACCAAAAACTTCAGGTGAGATAGGCAAGCACTCCTACACTCAAACTTTAGGTAACATAGGCAAGCGATCCTACACCATAATATCAGGTAAGATAGGCAAGCGATCCTACACCAAAAACTTCAGGAGAGATAGGCAGGCACCCCCACACTCTAATTTCAGGTAAGATAGGCAAGCGACCCTACACCAAAAGTTCATGTAAGATAGGCAAGCGATCCTACACCAAAGGTTCAGGTAATGTATGCAGGCGCTCCAACATCATGTGCCTTTCGTTTTGATGTTTATATCACTAGCAGATGATAGATGCCTCAAATATGAACACATCTTGAGTTGATGGCCATACGTGAATGCATTTACCTTATAAACAAAGTGGTTAATCTAATACAGATAGAACATACATGACTCTCTTATAAATGAATTAGAACGTGCGATAATTACATATACAAAGTAAAATTTTCAGGCTTATGACAATAGATCATATATATACTAAAAATTGTACACTGAAAAGATATGTAACGTCATTGTTATCCTACTTAGTAGCTTAGTGATATATGTTTTGTATCATATGTTTCTTTACAATCTAAAGATAACAAAGTCGTGTTAGAATACTGTAAGATTATCACACTTCCTGAACTTTCAGATAACAGAATGTGATTATATTATTTTACTCTCATACATAGGTGATTACACCATGCTCTGTTGAGATATAAGGGAAATAACTCTTTATTTATCGAGATATTGTGTGTTTAAGTTATTGGGTCCAGGGATATAGTAAAATGTCCACAAGAAATGTACAAACGTATCTTCCTCCAGTTGAACAGTTACACTTTTTGCAGCGTGTATCAAAGTTTCTCTGGTGGAAAGTCATGGTTACACACACTAATTTATTACCGGTATCAGGAAGTAGTTCTATATCATTTGCTCCTCGAGAGAAGCAAGTTAATGACTACAATGCGATAGCAGTGAGTGATATTTTTATTATTCATAACACTTCTTTCGTAAGAATTTTATGAGCAGAAAAATGTTTTAAATTACCTGGTGATGGTCGTATATTTTTATAATCGCAACAATCCCTTCTCCAATGACACATGACACTGACGAGTCTTGCATATTCTACAGAGCTAAGAAATTCACCGTCCACGTATAATTTTTATCCAACATCAATTCACAAGAAAGAACAAATGTCTGACACATTTATCTTCACAGAATAAATTTGTCACCATTGCGTCAATATAAACATGTATATATACTGTAAAATTTGAAACAATAACATTTCCCGTGCCATGTATCATTGCTCATCGCCAGTGTTCTGGAGTTTTCAATATCCATCTGATTTTTGGCTAGCGCTTGGATCACCTACATGTCATATTTTATGTCCAAACCTTTGTACTAAAATGCTGTGTATTGCTCGGATAAGGTTAGGTCAACTGATTCCCCATTATTGACAAACATAGATAATTTTCTTTTTATTGAAAATCCCAACAATTTGTTTTCGAAATGTCCCACAACAGCTGCTACAACCATCAGAACGAGGCAAACAATGATTGCCACCACGGCGGCAACAGCGATAGTGCTTTCGTCAACTTCAGAAACCACAGCCTCATTTAAGGGTGGCTGCAATGTAGTTGTTGTATTATCTGTCGTGTTGCCTGTTGCTGTTGAATTCAATGATTCGGTTATTTGACTTGTCACAGGTTCTACAGATGCCACGGGAGATGACGAATTTGGAGCTGATGTTAAAGTTGATGTTTGAGTTGTTCCTGCAGTTGATATTGCAGTTGATGTTGGAGTTGATGTTGCAGCTGGTGTTGTTGTTGCTGTTGAAGCTGATGTTGGAGTTGGTGTTGCAGCTGGTGTTGTTGCTGTTGAAACTGATGTTGGAGTTGATGTTGCAGCTGGTGTTGATGTTGCTGTTGAAGCTGGTGTTGGAGTTGATGTTGAATCTGATGTTGGAGTTGAAGCTGATATTGGAACTGATGTTAATGTTGAAGCTGGTGTTGAAGTCAGTGTTGAATCTGATGTTGGAGTTGGTGTTGATGTTGCTGTTATAACTGGTGTTGATGTTGCAGTTGCAGCCGATGTTGAAGTTGAAGTTAATGTTGCAGCTGATGTTGAAGTTTGTGTTACAACTGATGTGGATGTTGATATTGTGGCTGAAGTTGAAGTAGGTTCTGAATTCACCGTTGTTTGTGTTGTAGAAGTTCCTGTGGAAGTAGCGGTAGATGATTGTGTTGAGGATGGTGTTGTCGTTGTTGATGATGTTGTTTCACTAGTCCCAGGCTTAACTATGAAAAGACTTGTAAAAGTCAGAAAAAGGATAACAGCATCGGGATATTTCATATTGATTCTGCTCTTGTACTCCAGTATAAGTCTTTCTCCTACACAACCTTTTGACACAATTAACCATAAGCATATGGATAGGTCTGAAGACGTCAAGGGTGGGGGTGGACAGACACTGATATTATTTATTTCATCATGACGTGATAAAGCTGCACATTGAGGTATATTTGGGGTATAATTATAGGAAAAAGTGCAGCAGTTCTGTTTCTTTTTACATCTCTTTGTTTTGTTTTTTTTTTTTTTTTAAGAATAAAAAGTCCGATACGAATATCCAGAAAATTTATTTCTTAATCATTTGGTAAAAGTGTTTTGAGTAGAAGAGGACAGTAAAATGTTCCACATAGATTGACATTGCCCACCTTAGTGTCCCTCATACTGTAGTGACATGGGACAGTCAATGTAAACAGTGTTGTCCTAGAGGGCCTTCCAGGGCACTTCACTTTAATTTATAGACCATAATATAGTATCGAAATGAAAAGTTCCTGCGTATGTGTAGCTCCGATGTATCGTACGCTTGACGTCAGGGGTGGATTGATATTTTAACAGAAATGTTTCTCTTAATGTTTTAGTTTCCGTTTTACTTTAAACGATATCTCAAAAAGATTATTCAAAATATTTCGAATTAGATAAGTGGAGAGTTATCCAACAAAATGAAAATAAACATGTTTGTATCGTTTAAACATAAAATGATTCGAGAAATCTGTCTCTACCGAACTGGAAAACGTTCATAAGACAAGTGAACGATTGGACTACTCAGTGTTTGTGTTGGGTAAAATCTTATGAACTGTATCCCATTAATAAATAATCATCTTAGGTTGGATAAACCGTTTGGTATTAGAGATGTTACAGTGTCAATGTTATTAAAGTAGGAATACACGACCTTCAACACAACACGTATATTGTATTGTAGTATGGCATTGTCCGTCCGTCGTAAACTTTTAATTGTCTGGACATCTCTTCCCACATATTCCACTCGATCTATTTCAAACTATGTAGACATAATCAGCAGGATATGAAATCATATTTTCCTGAATGGTGGTGAGAACTTAACAATGTTTAGGAGGAGTTATTGTCTCTCTTTTCAACATTTGATCTTGTGCGGAGATGTCCAAATCAGTTTTTGACCAATTTATTTGATAGTAGGATCTAACAGAGCTAATCCGGTTGGTGATTCCGTGAATATCATTTTGATTCAACACTATTTAAAATATTTAGATTCGTTTTCTTTTTTCAGCATTTTATTCTTGTAGATACATTTCTTTGTATTATCATCTATCTCTTTAAACTTACATATTTAATCAACAAATCATAAAGCATTGTTTTCCCTCAAGGCAATTAAAATTTAATGTCTGGTTTACATATTTGTATATTTGTACAATAAATCACCAATCAATTGCTTATTCAGTATACATGTATTCTACTAGTATAAACCATGTTGTATGCTTAATTTCTGTTGTTTTATTCATTTTTTTATTAATATTATTTAGTGTCCTTTATTGATCATACACTTCTGTTGAAATTATATCAAATTTTCATTACAAATATAAATCTTTTTTTTTTCGTAATAGATCGACCGAGACAATTCATTTGCGACCAGATGGAAGAAATATCGATATTTTTTAATACATGTCCTCTTTTCAATCGAATTGAAGTTAATTCTTGGTTTTTATCATTTTCTTTCTTTTCCCTTACGAAAGTTCAACACAATTTTGAAAAATAATGGAATTCAAAGAATTATTTCAATCTAGTTTCTATATATCAAACAAAAACAAACAAAAAGTCAAAAGTATTGGATAGCGCCAGTGGCACAGCGGTCGAACCCACCAGTATGTTTTCTCATAAACCATAAGCTTTTGAAGAATATCGAAGGAACCACACGACTGAGCCAATACGATCTGGTTCTCGTGTGTAACATTTATATATACCTATGGCTCTGAAGCTTATGTATAAAGGTCTATATATAGAACATTTCATTATCGATCAAGCGAACAACGCCAGACATGTTTTTCTCGATACCTGTCCTGTCTGTATTTGGATATAGAAATGAGAGCGATAAAAGACACAATGACGTCACTGTAGTATATGTATGCAGTCGCTGACAAAAACAGTGTATGTCTATAACAACAGCTGACAACAACAGTATATGTATATAGTAACAGCTGACAAGAACAGTATATGTATATAATTACAGCTGACAACAACATTATATGTATATAATTACAGCTGACAACAACAGTATATGTATATAGTAACAGCTGACAACAACAGTATATGTATATAATTACAGCTGACAACAACAGTATATGTGTACTACAACAGCTAACAACAACATTATATGTCTATATTTACAGCTGAAAACAACAGTATATATATATAGTAACAGCTAACAACAACAGTATATATATGCAGCAGCTGACAACAACAGTGTTATCTATAAAAACAGCTGACAACAACAGTATATGTATATAGCAACAGCTGACAACAGTATATCTATAATTACAGCTGACAACAACAGTATATGTATGCAGCAGCTGACAACAGCAATATATGTATATAATACCAGGTGAAAACAACATGATGTGTATATAGATACATATTATCAAACATAAGTTAGCCATTTCACATCACTACTTAAAGAATTCATGATGATGTAATCTGTATTTGTTTTTGAACCATGTTTTTTGAATGACTGTAAGAAATAGAAAGTAAACAAGAAAACAGAAATAAAATTTAAAACAAATCTGATCCTTCGGTTCCGTTTGCCTAGATGGACTTTGTATGAAACGTGCCTTACATTAGTCGGTTGAAATATGACGACCAGATCAGGTTTGCTTTAAGTGTTTGTGGCCTGGTATATATACACCAACGATAAACAAACTGTTGTATCACATTTTCACGTTAACATAATCAACCTACCTATTTTACTTACAGTAAACAAACAAATGCTTAATATTCATAACTTTCTTTTTTTTTTTTTTTTGGAGCTTAACGTCCTTGTTCCGGTTATAACCGAGCATAGGACACTTATATTTATAACTTTGATGCTTTGAAATTGAGTTGGATTATAAGGTTATATTCATCTCCAGGCAGATGGAACGTAATTTTGGAGAAATTTGTGAATGTAAATAGACTGCTAGATATTGGAGGTAACTGTATAAATATTTCTCAAGAAAATTGTAATAATAGTTTTTGGAAAGGGGTTTTGGGAGCTTGGCATAGATTAGATAACTCAGATAACATGAAATCACTTAAGGGGAAGTCACTGTTGCAAACACCTATATGGCATAATGATAACGTAACAATTGGTGGCAAACCAGTTTTTTTTATCCGAGATGGTATGAAAAGGCATTTACTTAATAGGAGACCCAGTAAGGACTACAACACATAAACTTTCTTTACATATGATGAATTTATACATAAATACAACATTGACAGAGACTTTTTCAAATATAATGGCATAGTATCAGCCATTAGAAAATCTTTACAAAACCATGACATTGGGGAATACAAACTAACTCGTCCTGTTCTACCAGTCAACATTGCTATATTTCTGAAGAGGACTAAAGGTTCAAAAGTTTTTCATGAATTATTACATAACATAAACACTCTAGTTGCTAAAGGCAAAGTAAAGTGGGGAGAGACCTTTAATTTTAACGAGGATTACTGGAAGAGTATATATGCAATGCCTTTTCAAATTACTAAAAACTCCAAACTTCAGTTGTTAGAGTTCAGAGTATATCACCAGATTCTAACAACCAATTCAGTAAAACTTGTAGATAGTCCTCTCTGTAATCTTTGTAACTCAGAAAGAGAAACCATTGAACATTTGTTTTGTGAATGTGATCAAACTCAAAATCTTTTTCAAAGTTTAGAATTGTTATTAAAAGCTCTTTTTATTCCGTTTACTTTAAACAAACACACCCTACTTTTTGGCAAGATCAATACTAAAAACTCTACATAATATCAAATTGACAATCAAATCATCTCACTAATTAAACAATATCTTTACAGAACTAGATGCCTACACAAGTCACTGAATATTAATGCTCTGATTTTTACTATATTTGACCATTATAAAGTTCAAAGGTACAGTAAATGGAAATAGCTTAAGAGAAATTTGTAAATGATTGGAAGAAGTGGGCAAATTAATCCAAATGTTACAATGACACATTTATTACCTACATGTATTATTTATATACAATAGCATATATAATTTTTCATGTATCAAATATCCACCATCACCCAGTATCATGTAGCTTCAGGAACATAACTCTTACTTATTACTCTTTATCTCCATTTCTATGTCTCTTCCTCTCTCGTTTTCTCTCTCTCTTTCTCTCTCTCAGGCTGTGTCTTTGTCTATGTGCATGTCTATTTGTCTGTTATGAACGTAAATGTGTATGGATATGTGGATGGGCAGATATGCAAGGGGTTGCATGTATGTGTGATAATGACGAAATAGATGATGATCTAGATGATGATGGGAAAGATGATGATGGTCATCATGATTGTATTTAATGCAGGCGATGATATGAATGATGCAAATGATGTTGATAATGATGATGTTCATGGTGATGATGATGATAATACATGTAAGGACGATATGAATGATGATGGTGATGATGATGATGATGTTCATGGTGATGATGGTAATGATGCAGAAGATGATGATGTTACGGATGGTGATACATGTAAGGATGATGATGATGATGATGATGATGATAAAAAATCATTACATGTATGTGTGCATGAATGTATGAAAATGTATGCATGGATGAAAGTGTGTTTCATGTTATTATGTATTATGTAAAATATATTGTAAAAATAAAAGAAATATAAAATATATATATATATAGACGGTACACAGACTGTTGTATCACATTTTCAAGTTAACATAATCAATATACCTATTTTACGTATAATAAACTAACAAAATTGATTATGCTACATCAACTATAAAATTATTTCTAGTGATAGTCAAAATGTGTTTATGCATTAACACAATCCGTGGCAGTTGTACACGCGTAACTAAAGATGATGAGGCATTTTTACACAGGAAAAAAAAGTATTGGACGGCGTCAGTGGCTATCATAGGGTTCGAACCTACAAGGATTTGTGTGACAGACAAATTTTGAAACCATTTCAAGAACGAAGTAACCACACGACTGAGCCAACACTAATCGATGTAGATGTATAATACTTTTATATACCTACGGTGTGGTTTAGAAATCTATAAATAGGACTATATATTATACGTTTCCTCATTGGTTGTTGGGTTCGGTTGTTGTCAGTGAATTTGAATAGGAAAATCACTCGGGTCTCTCTAGGGTCTACAATGGTTTTCCCGCCGAATTCATATCTAAACAGGATATCTTATGTATGTACGTACGTGATGTATTTTTCGAATGACGAATAAATGCTATTTATAGCTAGACCTGCACGTAGTAGAGTTAAGTGCATCTTTTTGTGCCGATGTTTTGTGTGTTGGCTCAGCCCTGTGGTTACATCGTTGACTTTAAGAAAAGTTTGTTCTCCATATAAATCTCTAACACTGTATAGTTATACTTCCACCCCTATATTAACCACTGGCGCAATCCAACATTTTACCCATTTTAACAATCAGATCTTGGATCAATTACATTAAAATAAATATTCGAAACAAAGACTTCTAGAAAGGTGTAACAGTGGTGTCTGTTTATGGTAATGGTTCGATGCTGAGTGGACACATATTTTCATGATTTCATCGATTTTTTTTACAGACCATACTATTCAATTGTCTCAAAAATCAATATTTTGACAAACGGATTTTTTTTTTTAATTAATATTATATATTGATTTTTAAACAATACAAAAACAGATTTAGTGTATGCATACTATTTTAATTGATATAAACTGAAACCACTAAATCACAATTATTTTCTAAGTATGCAAACATGTGGCTAAGCCTTTCAACCCTCCTTATGACCAAGTCCTGGAGGGTTCTCCTTTTAGTTGAACTACTTTCTGACATTCTGTGTCAACATTTTATGGCCTATGAGTGCATTCCTGATGTAATGATATAACTTCGATGTCCAAGGCTTATAATAAAAAAAGACATTGTGTTGAGATTACTAACATTGACAGCATTTACGAAGAGCGGCCTCGTGTCTAGAATAAAATATCAACAGATAAACAATACTGATAGCCCAATACACAGAATATATTAGGTCACATAGATCACGAAGTTTGAAGAATGCAAGTAGATCTCGCCTATCCTAGCACGATAAATAGAGAGGCAGATTGACATTATGTAACACCTTAATTAGGAATTAAACTCACAAAATGTGCTGAAATGATGGACAGTTGATGATGTAAGATTTAGAGAAAGTGGTTACAGACAGAGCGGGAAACGAAGAAAACAAGACCTAAAAAACACACCAAACACTAAGAAAGTTGTAAATATATATTGTACAATATACCAGAATATTTCCTGTAATGTTGCATATGTTAAACAAAGAAAACATCAGAGCTGTAGCGCTATATTTGCGACAAACTGAAATGAAAGCAACAAAAACCAAAAGAAATGTGGGTATTACAGCACCCAACTTATCACCGTGGCAGCTAACACTTGATAAGATTTACAAAGAGAGAGTAAAACACACAATAACATAACACCACATAATTATATATATCATGCACTGATAACGATTTAAAACGAAATATACTAAAAAAAGATTATGACATAATAGTGAGTACCTGCATATCACGCAAGGGTTGCTACACAGAGAACTAAGACACTATAATAGTAATGTAAATAATCGCTTACATAGCAAATGAGTAAAAATTAACATGAAATATATCAATATAGTGTAAATTAAAAGATAACAAGGTTGAATAAGTAATAAAACATTGTGCTATAATAATTTTTAGAAATAAAAGGGTTATAACTATGGTGATAATTATCCATACATAAAGCGTCATGCAAAGTTAGGCTAATTAAGTTAAATCTAATTCATAAATCATGATACATGAAATACAAGAAGCAAATAACATCTGAAAAAGCAAGTAAATATAATAATATCGAAAGTTCGTTTTTCCTTGATTTTCCTGGCAAACATTCACAGCGTACACCCACGACAAAACAATAACAATGATGATAAATACCACTACTACTACTACCACTACCACCACTACAACTACAACTATAACCACGACAACTGTTACAACAACAACAACTACTACTACCACTACTACTATCACTACCACCACTACTACTACTACTACTCTTACTACTGCTACCACTACTATTATCACTACTATTACCACTACCACTAATACTACTACCACCACTACTACCACTACCAATACTACTACCACTACCACTAATACTACTACCACCACTACCACTACTACTATTACTACTACTACCACTCTTACTTCTACCATTCCTACTACTTACTACTACTACCTACTACTAATACTACTACCGCTACCACTACTATTACCAATACTACTACCACTACTACCACTATTACTACTACTACTACTACTGCTACCACCACTATTACTACTACTACTACTACTACTACTACTACTACCACTACTACCACTACTTCCACTACTACCACTACTACTACCACTACTACCACTACTACTTACTACTACTACCTACTACTAATACTACTACTGCTACCACCACTATTACCACTACTACTACTACTTCCACTACCACTAATACTACTACCACTACTACTACAACTATAACAACAGATACTACTACTACCACCACTACCACCACTACAACTGCTACTACTACTTCTACTACTACTACTACTACTACTACTACTACTACTAAAAGTATAACAACAAATACTACTACCACCACTACTACTACTATTACTGCTACTACTACCATACTACTCATTCTACCACTATTACTACTACTACTACTACTACTACTACTACCACCAATACTACAACTACCACCACTACAACTGCTGGTACTACCACTACTACTATTACTACCACTACTACTATTACTGCTACTACTACTGCTACAACTATTACAACAACTACTACTACCACCACTACTACTTCCACTGCTACTACCACTACTACTACTATTACCACCACTACTACTACTTTCATCATCAGACCAAACATTTCACTGCTGAAGATTATTTTTACCTCTGTAAATCTGTAACAAATATAGAAAACGTATTCAATCTCCTGCCATGATCAACAATCTCCTGTAGTGACATGGGACAGTCAATGTAAACAGTGTTGTCCTAGAGGGCCTTCCAGGGCACTTCACTTTAATTTATAGACCATAATATAGTATCGAAATGAAAAGTTCCTGCGTATGTGTAGCTCCGATGTATCGTACGCTTGACGTCAGGGGTGGATTGATATTTTAACAGAAATGTTTCTCTTAATGTTTAAGTTTCCGTTTTACTTTAAACGATATCTCAAAAAGATTAATCAAAATATTTCGAATTAGATAAGTGGAGAGTTATCCAACAAAATGTAAAATAAACATGATTGTAGCGTTTAAATATAAAATGATTCGAGAAATCTGTCTCTACCGAACTGGAAAACGTTCATAAGACAAGTGAACGATTGGACTACTCAGTGTTTGTGTTGGGTAAAATGTTATGAACTGTATCCCATTAATAAATAATCATCTTAGGTTGGATAAACCGTTTGGTATTAGAGATATTACAGTGTCAATGTTATTAAAGTAGGAATACACGACCTTCAACACAACACGTATATTGTATTGTAGTATGGCATTGTCCGTCCGTCGTAAACTTTTAATTGTCTGGACATCTCTTCCCACATATTCCACTCGATCTATTTCAAACTATGTAGACATAATCAGCAGGATATGAAATCATATTTTCCTGAATGGTGGTGAGAACTTAACAATGTTTAGGAGGAGTTATTGTCTCTCTTTTCAACATTTGATCTTGTGCGGAGATGTCCAAATCAGTTTTTGACCAATTTATTTGATAGTAGGATCTAACAGAGCTAATCCGGTTGGTGATTCCGTGAATATCATTTTGATTCAACACTATTTAAAATATTTAGATTCGTTTTCTTTTTTCAGCATTTTATTCTTGTAGATACATTTCCTTGTATTATCATCTATCTCTTTAAACTTACATGTTTAATCAACAAATCATAAAGCATTGTTTTCCCTCAAGGCAATTAAAATTTAATGTCTGGTTTACATATTTGTATATTAGTACAATAAATCACCAATCAATTGCTTATTCTGTATACATGTATTCTACTAGTATAAACCATGTTGTATGCTTAATTTCTGTTGTTTTATTCATTTTTTATTAATATTATTTAGTGTCCTTTATTGATCATACACTTCTGTTGAAATTATATCAAATTTTCATTACAAATATAAATCTTTTTTTTTCGTAATAGATCGACCGAGACAATTCATTTGCGACCAGATGGAAGAAATATCGATTTTTTTAATACATTCCTCTTTTCAATCGAATTGAAGTTAATTCTTGGTTTTTATCATTTTCTTTCTTTTCCCTTACGAAAGTTCAACACAATTTTGAAAAATAATGGAATTCAAAGAATTATTTCAATCTAGTTTCTATATATCAAACAAAAACAAAAAGTCAAAAGTATTGGATAGCGCCAGTGGCACAGCGGTCGAACCCACCAGTATGTTTTCTCATAAACCATAAGCTTTTGAAGAATATCGAAGGAACCACACGACTGAGCCAATACGATCTGGTTCTCGTGTATAACATTTATATATACCTATGGCTCTGAAGCTTATGTATAAAGGTCTATATATAGAACATTTCATCATCGATCAAGCGAACAACGCCAGACATGTTTTTCTCGATACCTGTCCTGTCTGTATTTGGATATAGAAATGAGAGCGATAAAAGACACAATGACGTCACTGTAGTATATGTATGCAGTCGTTGAAAAAACAGTGTATGTCTATAACAACAGCTGACAACAACAGTATATGTATATAATTACAGCTGACAACAACAGTATATGTGTACTACAACAGCTAACAACAACATTATATGTCTATAATTACAGCTGAAAACAACAGTATATGTATATAGTAACAGCTAACAACAACAGTATATATATGCAGCAGCTGACAACAACAGTGTAGTCTATAACAACAGCTGACAACAACAGTATATGTATATATGTATATAATTACAGCTGACAACAACATTATATGTATATAATACCAGGTGAAAACAACATGATGTGTATATAGATACATATTATCAAACATAAGTTAGCCATTTCACATCACTACTTAAAGAATTCATGATGATGTAATCTGTATGACTGTAAGAAATAGAAAGTAAACAAGAAAACAGAAATAAAATTTAAAACAAATCTGATCCTTCGTTTCCGTTTGCCTAGATGGACTTTGTATGAAACGTGCCTTACATTAGTCGGTTGAAATATGACGACCAGATCAGGTTTGCTTTAAGTGTTTGTGGCCTGGTATATATACACCAACGATAAACAAACTGTTGTATCACATTTTCACGTTAACATAATCAACCTACCTATTTTACTTACAGTAAACAAACAAATGCTTAATATTCATAACTTTCTTTCTTTTTTGGAGCTTAACGTCCTTGTTCCGGTTATAACCGAGCATAGGACACTTATATTCATAACTTTGATGCTTTGAAATTGAGTTGGATTATAAGGTTATATTCATCTCCAGGCAAATGGAACGTAATTTTGGAGAAATTTGTGAATGTAAATAGACTGCTAGATATTGGAGGTAACTGTATAAATATTTCTCAAGAAAATTGTAATAATAGTTTTTGGAAAGGGGTTTTGGGAGCTTGGCATAGATTAGATAACTCAGATAACATGAAACCACTTAAGGGGAAGTCACTGTTGCAAACACCTATATGGCATAATGATAACGTAACAATTGGTGGCAAACCAGTTGTTTTTTTTATCCGAGATGGTATGAAAAGGCATTTACTTAAAAGGAGACTCAGTAAGGACTACAACACAAAAACTTTCTTTACATATGATGAATTTATACATAAATACAACATTGACAGAGACTTTTTCAAATATAATGGCATAGTATCAGCCATTAGAAAATCTTTACAAAACCATGACATTGGGGAATACAAACTAACTCGTCCTGTTCTACCAGTCAACATTGCTATATTTCTGAAGAGGACTAAAGTTCAAAAGTTTTTCATGAATTATTACATAATATAAACACTCTAGTTGCTAAAGGCAAAGTAAAGTGGGGAGAGACCTTTAATTTTAACGAGGATTACTGGAAGAGTATATATGCAATGCCTTTTCAAATTACTAAAAACTCCAAACTTCAGTTGTTAGAGTTCAGAGTATATCACCAGATTCTAACAACCAATTCATTTCTTTTTAAAGTAAAACTTGTAGATAGTCCTCTCTGTAATCTTTGTAACTCAGAAAGAGAAACCATTGAACATTTGTTTTGTGAATGTGATCAAACTCAAAATCTTTTTCAAATTTTAGAATTGTTGTTAAAAGCTCTTTTTATTCCGTTTACTTTAAACAAACACACCCTACTTTTTGGCAAGATCAATACTAAAAACTCTACATAATATAAAATTGACAATCAAATCATCTCACTAATTAAACAATATCTTTACAGAACTAGATGCCTACACAAGTCACTGAATATTAATGCTCTGATTTTTACTATATTTGACCATTATAAAGTTCAAAGGTACAGTAAAGGGGAAATAGCTCAAGAGAAAATTGTAAATGATTGGAAGAAGTCGGCAAATTAATCCAAATGTTACAATGACACATTTATTACCTACATGTATTGTATTGTCTTGACAAATGCCCTTTTGTGCAGTATTTATATACAATAGCATATATAATTTTTCATGTATCAAATATCCACCATCACCCAGTATCATGTAGCTTCAGGAACATGACTCTTACTTATTACTCTTTATCTCCATTTTTATGCCTCTTCCTCTCTCGTTTTTTCTCTCTCTCTCTCAGGCTGTGTTTTTGTCTATGTGCATGTCTATTTGTCTGTTATGAACGTAAATGTGTATGGATATGTGGATGGGCAGATATGTAAGGGGTTGCATGTATGTGTGATAATGACGAAATAGATGATGATCTAGATGATGATAAGAATGATGCAAGTGATGATGGTAATGATGATGATCGTCATCATGATAGTATTTAATGCAGGCGATGATATCAATGATGCAAATAATGTTGATAATGATGATGTTCATGATGATGATACGGATGATGATACATGTAAGGACGATATGGATGATGATGGTGATGATGATGATGATGATGATGATGATGATGATGATGATGATGATGATGGTGATGATGATGATGATGATGATGATGATGATGATGATGATGATGATGATAAAAAATCATTACATGTATGTGTGCATGAATGTATGAAAATGTATGCATGGATGAAAGTGTGTTTCATGTTATTATGTATTATGTAAAATATCTTGTAAAAATAAAAGAAATATAAAATATATATATACATAGACGGTACACAGACTGTTGTATCACATTTTCAAGTTAACATAATCAATATACCTATTTTACGTATAATAAACTAACAAAATTGATTATGCTACATCAACTATAAAATTATTTCTAGTGATAGTCAAAATGTGTTTATGCATTAACACAATCCGTGGCAGTTGTACACGCGTAACTAAAGATGATGAGGCATTTTTACACAGAAAAAAAGTATTGGACGGCGCCAGTGGCTATCATAGGGTTCGAACCTACAAGGATTTGTGTGACAGACAAATTTTGAAACCATTTCAAGAACGAAGTAACCACACGACTGAGCCAACACTAATCGATGTAGATGTATAATACTTTTATATACCTACGGTGTGGTTTAGAAATCTATAAATAGGACTATATATTATACGTTTCCTCATTGGTTGTTGGGTTCGGTTGTTGTCAGTGAATTTGAATAGGAAAATCACTCGGGACTCTCTAGGGTCTACAAGGGTTTTCCCGCCGAATTCATATCTAAACAGGATTTCTTATGCGTGTACGTACCTGATCTATTTTTCGAATGACGAATAAATGCTATTTATAGCTAGACCTGCACGTAGTAGAGTTAAGTGTATCTTTTTGTGCCGATGTTTCGTGTGTTGGCTCAGCCGTGTGGTTACTTCGTTGACTTTAATCAAAGTTTGTTCTCCCTACAAATCAG